ACTGGAAAGGTAAAGGAAATGATGATTTGATAATTCCACATAAAAATAAAAAACCTAGATTGACAAAATACATGGATCCAGTTCCTGAAATAGATCAAATTTTGTTAAATCGTAAAACACGTTCTTCCAAGAATAACTTATTAAAAAATGGTAATATTCAAACACCGCTTATTATTTCCAAAAAACGTTTCCTACTTCAAAATACATGTCCATTTGATTCGATAACTGTGTTAATCGCGATCGCCTACAATGAGAATGAAAAGTATAAGAATTACTTGAATAACAGTACCAATGATTTATTAAAGTTCTGTAAAAAACTTGCGACGGAACCTGTTTCAAAGAATACTTATATAAGCCGTCTTTCACTTCTTCGTAAGATTTTCAAAGAAAATACTGGGATAACAGATATTGCATTGATTGATACTAGATGCAATGTTATCTTTATTGCCACTAGTTTTTTGAAAGAGTCTCCATCAGCTGAAGAACATCGCCAATGCACAAACAAAAAATGTACAAATTCAAAAACTATACCTAGCCCAACAATAGTATTAAATATGAAACAACATGATCTAACACGTTTAGAGGATAGTCTAAAGTTGTATGTTGGTGGAAAATCGACAGGTTGTTTGGACACCACGTGTGAAGGCATATTAGAAGTATCCAGAACACTACAAGATCATATATTCATAGAAACAGATGCATTTAGCGAAACAAAGAATTATACGTTGATGGATTTTCCAGTGCACCTCAATATAAATAATGAAAGGTTTGAATTAAATTACTAATTATATCATATAAAATAAATTTAAATATTTAATTTAATTTTGGTAATTTTTAACTGTTTTAGTTTCTGCTTATCTGGTGCAATAAGCTATGCATACAACCATTACGTCACATATGTACTGCGTTTAAATGGTTGGGAAGTTCATAACGATATGGAGAAAAGAATTAAGAGAGTCCCTGGAACGACAAAAATCAAGCCTCATTTAATTTTATACACAAAACAGTAATAATTTATCAATATGTTTTCTTTAACTATTTTAATTTTTTATTTAAAAAGTATTACTTAAGTATTAGTTAAGAAATAAGATTTAAAAAAGTATTTTGTTATTTTTATTTTTATTCAAATTAAACAGTATCTATTTCAGATTTTAAACTATGTATTTTTGTTTTCTAAAAAAGCTTATATAAAAACTGGTAAAGTAAAATTAATTTTTGAAGATAATTAATTTAGGAAAAAAAATAATAAAAATGTCCAATAAATTACAATATTATGCTTTATGTTATATTAGCTTTATGTTTTTCAAAAAAACTCCTGGTACGTTTTTTTTACAGATTCGTACAGGTTACTAATATACAAATTGTGAAAAATGTGTTGCAATTATTTTGAAAAAAAGTTATATTAGTTGTTGGACGATACGACAAAGTCGGAGTACCAACTTAACGCGCGTGGTTTTCAAATTCTGAAAACCGATTTTCAAATATTTTCAAATTGTTTTCAAAATATTGGTGAAGGTTTGGTGTCGATCGGACAACATGGGGGGNTGTAACTTACTAGCTAAGTTAGAAAGTTACTTAAAAAGTAAATTTCTAACTAAAGTTTAACTTTCTAACTAAAATAAATAATAATAAAATAATGCCCAAATTCAGAAATACAAATAGTTGCTATGTATAATGATTTTGAAATACTTAGTTATTTTATAATTAAACTTGTTAAATAAATCATAAATTAATAAAATTATTTTACTAGGTAAGAAATTACTAATTTAACAGGTATACTGTATATTCAATTTTCAAAAATCATTTTAATTGATTTGCAAGTGTACTGGGTTTCCATAGAGCAGTGGTCTCAAACATACTTTCCGCGTACCCTTTCCATGTGGCCCACAATATAAATACATCATGTTGAAATTTAAGTTTGAGTTGACTGAGTTAAGATTTAGGTATTAAATGTTGATAAATATCACAATGGTTATGGTAAAAACTGTAATGTTTTTATTAATTTTATTATACCATTCGTACTTTCACTTACACTTCTTTACCAGATTAATGATGGGTTACATTACATTATACATTTTACATTACATTACATTATATATTGAACATAATATTATAAAAATAATTAACAATAATAATAATAATATTTAACTCTGTTACCTATGTTTCAGTAAATAATAATACAGAAAATTGATCAATTATCAAATTTAAAATTATAAATGTTATCTAGTGTATCATCTAGGTTTGTTTTCAAATTTTAGTGTGTTATGGGCATTTTAAAATGTACAATCAGAATTTTAAAAATGCTCATAACTCATTAAAATTAAAATATAATTTTAAACTTAAAACCTTATGACTTTCCCTAGATGGTTATATTCTAACCATTTCTAACTCTAACCGCAAATAGAGTACTAAACACTTCAACATTTACAATTGCACTGCTAATTTTATATTCCTAAATTCCTTATATTGAATGAAATGCGCATGCACTTATTCAACTTATAAATATACCAGTTTTAATATCCAGTTATTTTTACAGTGGCTATATAGTTCACAACCGTGTGAGCTGTTTTTTAGGGCTTTTTAGATTTTTAACATCTACATGCAACACCGTAGTTAATTGCAGTATCAACTATCAAAGAGCTATTGAACCGTGTTAAACGTATTGCTATTTTGAAGATAATATTCAATGAAATATCCTAAGCAGGTAATACCAAAGGAAATGTTAGCTTTACATTTTTGCGAGGTAAAAAGCAGTCGTTAATATCATCGTAGAGATCGTAGCGGTAGACGCTTCACTTGTAATTTTCAGGAAAACAAAAAATTTATCTTCTTTTATACTATTTTGAATTTAAATCGTATTTTTTAATTTATAATATATTTTAGAATTTAAGTTTAATAAACAAACATTTTGAATATTAACTTTTTTGTACAGAACTTGCACTTGGAATTGGTTCACGTCGATGTAACGTAACTTTAAAACTTATAAGCTACTATTATGTTGACCTATAACACCAAACCACCTACAACACCACAACAAAGATCCCAACCATTAGCAAAGAGTAATGAAGTATTATTAAGTAATTAATAATTTGAAATATTACTTTAAATTGGTTTCTTTTACAATTGATTGATTATTTAAATATTATACATTTTTTAAGTATGTTAAATATTAATTATTTGTTTTTTTTTTCAGTTAATTTTTCTATGAATGAATCATTAAACCATTAATAACCATGATATTTTAAATGTTAGCTGCCGCCCGCCGGGTACATTAATTGTGCGTAGCCGTGCTACTAGCTAGGTGGGGGGCTGCGCCAGCGAGTTTGTTCTTATGTTAGAGTAATAGTGTATTTACTATTTAATTAATATTTGTCCGCCTCGTGTAAAATTACATGGCAAAACCGCCACTGGTTTACAGTATATCGTGAGGTACGGCGATCGGTGTGTGCGATGCGTTGTCCGTTCGACGATCCGCCATCCTTGTAAGAGAACGAGACCGTCGCCGCCGGCCGGTACTTTTCCAGCGCTATTTGTCTCCCTTACCCACCTTGTGCCTTTTGGCGCGGCGGTAGAGTTGACAAAGTCGCGCTGTCGTAACCCGTGGTGGTGGTTGGTAAGAGCGTAGACCGCTTGCTGCGATGCCTGTATTTTGTACTGGCTGCCGTTGAGTACCGAGTCAGCTAACTAAAAAAAAGTTAAAAAATAACTTTTCAATTCATAGTTTTAAGGCATTTTGCATTAACAGTATTACAACTTAAGCCTGCATATGACAGGAGCGCTCTCTGGTGTCTATAGAACTGTGGTAATAATTTCAATCAAGACTTTGTATGCAAATGGTCCAGAGTGATGACACCGTATCAATACACTTTGAAGTTTGAATACACTATAGTACGGCCAGCGAAAAGTGAGCCGCGATACCAGTGCTCCTGGTGGCGGAATTTCATCAGGGCATCCAAAATTATTTGCGATCATTCTTAAATGCACCACTTACTGTCACGGCTCACTTTTCGCTGGCCGTGCTATAACACATATTATATAAGTTATACATAATATAATATATTACAAGACTATAAAAGATTTAATGAATCAAATTAAAGATTTTTTTTTTTTTATCTTAACTATTTAAATAATAGTTAAATACTGAACCAATTATTTACAGAAGCATTGTCATTTAACATAAAAGCACTTATACGTGCTGAGCTCAAATATTTTCCTTACCGTAAAATTGAATATACAATTTTATATTAATTTTTAGTTGGCAAAATTATATGCCATTTACCAGGGTAAATCGTTAAAATCATCAATATATTGTTTAATAAATACTTATTAGTAGAAAATTATTTACATAATATGTTTACAGTTTTATACATGTCACAGGTGGACATGGTACCGGAGAAACCACAATTCGAAGAGTAACAGTTTCACTAAATGCTGATATTTTAATAAATTTAGTTCCCACCCGATTTTTTCGATTTTTTCCCCAACAATATATGTGTTTTTAAGCACTAAACACAAAAGTCTGATTCGAAAATTCTCGCTAATCATTATTTTGGAAATTATATCTAAAAAACTATAAAACAGTCAATTTTTTTTTAAACTCTTAAGCTTAAACAGCCTAATCTAAACATAGTATACCTAATAATAATAATAAAGACAATTTGCAACAAACATTGTCGTCATCGGTAAAATATAATAAAATAAAATAAAATATAAAATATCTAATGTATTGCATTAACTGAATTCAAACTCTTTACAAAATTATATCTATCAATTTGGTTGTCGTTATATAATTGTATTTTTTTATTTATAAATTGTAAATTATTTTTTTGTTGTATTCTAATTATCCTACTTTCATTATTATTGGCAAAATTTATTCGTATAATATAAGAGTCTGTCTGCAAAGCTAATAAATTTGTAATGAAAACTACAATATTTAGATTTGCGGAAGTAAGGCCCGGTTTTTCAATCATATTTAACTGATAGTTAGTGAGATTTAACTGACAGTTAAATGTATGTCCCAGTTAAACTGTTTATCAAACCTCGATTAAGCTAACTGAAAGGCTTAACTAGCAGTTAAGTTAATCGCTAATATTTCCTCCAATTAAACCGATAACTGCCGGTTAAACTACATAATACCTATGTAATTGTTGTTTTTTTTATCAACAAAAATCAGATAACAAAATATATGCAAATTTGACATTTTCTATCCTCGTTATTTTTTTATACTTGTACTTTATACTCAATACGAGTTACGACAATACGTCAATACCCATCATGGAACTCATCATGGACCATGCTATACTCTTTGAAGATGACGATGATGAATTTAACATGTATGTGAACTATGTTCGAAGATCTTATACTATAAGATGTAGGATCGATCATTTTAATAAATGGGATGATTACGATTTTAAATCCCGATTTCGATTATCTAAAGAGACGGTTATTGAAGTTTTGAATATTATAAAACATTCTATTTCATCTAATTCTGATAGGTATGTATTTACTATTTAATATTTATACTAATATTATATCCGATGGCAAGAACCTATTGGCTTAGCCGTGAATTAACTATTAAGGGGGCTGGAGCGTAATCTATTCTAAGGAGTACAAACTAGGCATTTTGTATTTCAGTTCATATGGGTCTTGTGTATGTGTTGAAAGTAAATTAACATTTTCTGTATTTAATTCGTAGTACCGATCACGGTATAGGGGCATCATAATACGTCCGTCATTTTACCTACGCGCATGCACACGTCACCAAATATTACTTAATAAAATTAGGTACATTTTTTTTCAAAAAATACTGCCTGTGGGCTGTGACTTCAATCACTACGTTCAGTAGGATGTTCTGATTTAAATTTTGAAAGCAGATTTGTATTCTCCTCTAAATTTACAATGCTTTGACTGTCGTACATTATTTATATTCTGTATTAATGTATTTAAATTTGAATTATTAATATGATTTATTTTTACTCTTTTTGTTAGTAAATTTCTAAGTAAAAAGAAATAAAAATCAGAAAAATGAAATTGTCAAAGCATAGATAATTTAGTGACGAATTCAAATGTGCTTTCAAAATTAATATCAGGACATTATTTTGGGCGTAGTCGTGAGCTATGTTTTCGACCGAAAATTAATCACGCTCCAGCCCTCTTAAGGCATTATTATTCGTGGGCTAAGCATATATTAATTTAACCATCATTTATAATTTTGATCAGGAATCATGCTGTAACTCCAGTTCAAAAACTATTGTTAACTTTACGGTTTTATGCTACGGGGAGCTATTTAATTAGTGCAGGTGATTTTATTGGCGTTAGCAAATCATCAGCCTGCCTCATAGTTCGAGATGTAAGCCTGGCTATAGCTAACCTCCGAAAAGAGTATGTTCGAATGCCAGAAAATGATTTGGAAATTAGGCAGTTACAAAAAGATTTTTATAAAATAGCGAAATTTCCATTGGTCATTGGGGCTATAGATTGCACCCATGTGAAAATTCAAAGTCCTGGTAAGTTGAGATGTATATTATACTCGTATGTATAATAATGCAGATACCTATTATAATAAAATAGTTGATTTGGATTTGTGATTATTTAAACATATAAATTTATACATTTAATTTTTATCATATGAATTTTTATAAATACACATTATTTATGTAAAAAAAATTAATCATTTATTTAAGGTGGCCCAAATTCTGAGTATTTTCGTAATCGAAAGGGGTGGTTCTCATTCAATGTCCAAACAGTGGTATCTTCAAAACTAAAAATTATGGATATAGTTGTACGCTGGCCGGGTTCAACTCACGATTCAACTATATTCTCAAACTCAAAAATATACCAACACTTACATGTTACAAAGAAATGGGGTAATAGTTTAATTGTTGCAGATTGTGTACACATCGGCTGTCCTTTGTAATACGTTACAAATACTCGTTTCAAAACTTATATATATATATAAATATAAATGTTGTTTAAAGATCATGATCTCTAAATTTAACAAATTTATCTCCATAGCCGAAGTAAGAAAATAGTTGGTAATGTTTTTTTTTTTTTAACTATCCGAATCAAATGAATTTGAGTCGATGAAATACCTGAGGCAGGCACTTTTTTTTTCA